GTCATAGCAGAGAATAATTCCATAGCACATCATCTACTACCACAGAGACAAACTCACCTCAATCATAACAGCCAGTGCTTTGTTGTGGTGCTGAAAGTCTGCATGAAACATCTCATCCTGTAGCCATTTGGCCACACAAGTGGACATCTGAGTTTTTAGCTGTTCAATATATTCATCACGGGGAGTAGTGAAATTCCACTTTAACACCTGTAAAAGGCAGCATTTAGAACTCAAAGTAAGCAATACATTTTCTTCCTGAAAGACTCTGCTGATTGTATATCATTTAGTTCTGCTTCAGAATCTGTTTTCAAAGTCTTCTTCTTGTCAATAAGTAAAAGGAAAAATCAGTGGTGTTTGCTCACCTTCTCTTACATGAAAAATTTTCTTCATGTGGACTGGTTATCTTTAGGCCACCATCTTAATAATTATCACTTAAAGTGGTTGGTTTTAAGCTACAGACAAGCCTATCTACTAGCAAGTTACAAATAACATGCATGTTTTCAGTAACAGAATTTCCCTAAGAATTGCTAAGTAGGGCTGTTCAAAATAAGTAAATTGAAGCATTTACAATGTATCCTGGAACTCTGTACCGGAAAACAGCTGACTAAGCTTAACGATCCTTCACAAATTTTCAGCATTTATACACTGTCATAAAAGCCCATATGCACAAAATTTGGAAATCAGAAGAGAAAGATCACAGTAAGCCAGATATTGACCTGTGAAATTCAACTGAAGAATCTGTCCAAGAGATGGACAGTGACTAGCACTTTCATGCCGTAGTACATTTTATTCTAAATTCAAAACTAACAAATGCCATTAAAAAAAAAATCTCCTTCAAAACTTGTGAATACATTCCAATTTTTCTCACCTTCAGACCTTTCTCCTCTTTCATCCTCTGTTCTTTTCCATTTGGGACTATGATAAAAATAGGACCCGATTTATCATCATCTTCCTTCAAATTAGGCTTGCTTAGCACTTTCTTCCCTTGTACACCCTGAAAAAAAGCATAGTATTAACAGGCAACACAAGACATACATATGCCTCAGTCCTAGCAATTGCAAGCATTAGATACCAGCCAGTCTCATGCTGCCTATGTATACA